AGCGTTTGCTCCCGCTGCTTTAATTCAATGCAATCCCTCCCCGTCGAGGCAAGCACTGTAATTCTCTCCGGTTAGTCCACCAGCAGATGACAAACACCCACCTCTCCGCCTCTTCCAAGGAACGATTTTCAGTTTCAGTTTGTTTCGCCGGTCAAGATGTCCGTTAAAGTTTAAATCTTCCGGACAAAATTAGAAAAGTGCCGGTCAAAGGTCTTCTTTGTTATTTATTGAGCTTTAAAACAAATGAATAACGACTCTATATAATAAAACACGGAGGACGGAGATCTCTTTTTCTCCCCCTCTTCTGACAGCCCAGCAGCTGATCAGAGCACAGCTACCCTCTCCTGCAGGGGGGCGTGGTCAGCAGAATCAGCCCCGTAGACAGCAAATAGCACATGGAGCGAAATGAGGCATGGCTAAAATGCATGATCTGTTTGGTATTTTGAAAACAGAAACGTATAAATATACCTTATATAGGTATGGCCCCACAATATATCATTTAAATATAGCATGATAGGTCCACTTTAAGTTATTTTGGTGTTTACTGAAATAGTGTTGTATTTACATACAATTCTATATCAGTAATTATACACGAGCGGGAGAGAAATCTCACCAAATTGTCATACATTTGCAAACTTCAATTGCTTCCATATCGACTCCACAGTCCAGACCAATTTAAATCATTGCACCCAGATGTCTAAATAACAGACACAGAGAGATAAACAGACAGCCGGACAGGTATTCGGATAGAGATGTGAAGAATCAGAGGGAGGTCTAACCTGAGCTCTCCTTATTCCCCCCCCCTCCTCGCCCTACTCTACTCCCCACTCACCCAGTGCCAGAGAGCAGATGGGCCTCACAGCATGCCACTCTGTTCTGCAGAGCTCCAGCACAAAGCAGCACACACCACAGGCCATCATCGTACATCAGTGAGCTGAGGAGAGCCTCACAAGAACAGAACAACACCCCCCGACAGACAGAGGGACAGACAGACAGACAGACGGGTAAACAGACGCAACATGTATCCTGCCAGTCTGAGATATGACAGAAGTTATTATCTGACCTGTAGATGCCGCACTACCATTGGCCCAGGGAGTGTAATATGTTAATGGTGCTTGTTAATGGTGGAATGTAACATTACCTAACAATTTGTCAAAGCCTGTTCTGAGATATCAATTGGGACACATGGATAAACAAACAAGCTAAACCCAAAACGTCTTCCCTTCTATGTTTCTTAACTTGTAAAGTGGGCGCATGTCTTTACATTTCAGCTGTGCTCCTGAAAATAGCGTACAACCTCAGTATGATGCATACATTATATAGCGACAGCAGGAAACAAACAAAGTCGCTGAGAGGCTGAGGCCGGGCCTGTTTGATATTGTGTGACACGCTACAAAAAAGTATTTGCTGAGATCAAAAACTCTGTTGCAAAATAATGTGGTTTAATGAAAACTGGGATGATCAACTTATTCTCCTTGGACATGAACATTGTTATATTAATCAGAGCAATAATTTCAACTTGCGGTCAACAAAAAGTACAACGCCCCTGTGTCACCCTCTCTTCCACCCACACCTCACGCAGGTGAACAGGATTATAATGAGTGCCACCCATATCCATGTGACCCAAGCCAACCAATCAATTGTGCTCAAACAAATATCTTATATTAAAAGAAAACGCAATACTAAACATGTTTCATGGCTCCTACACACCAGCCTCTAATTATTATGGCTCCTACACATTACGTGAAACAGGTTGTGATACACTCTGCTGTAATCCTACACTTAACATTCCTTGTTTGTGTTTGAAATATACTTCATATCTGAATATTGTCCTTGAGAAATGTTACTGTAGACATGCATAATTAAGTTAAAAGCAACAAGGTAGAGCTCTCATATACATGCAAGTAAGCCACACTACCTACTTTGATTCCAATGCACACACACACAAACTATTCAGACACAAAGCTGACTGACAGAAAGCAATTATAAGTTGAAAACTCCTCAACCTAAAAAGGTATCACAAAGACTTTTAGAGCTAAAAAAAACAAAGTAGCATAAAATAATCACATTTTCAAAGATCAGTTATTCATTATGATGACCATTATACAAATACATACATACAGCTACAAGCAATACATGCTGGAGAACAGTCAGTCAGATAGTTGGGGCTTCCTACTGTTCTCTCATCCATCTGTGGTGGAGCTTTCTCTATCTTAACTCTTTTTCACTGTGAGGCGATATGTCAGAGGCGCTTATAAACATTTGTCTATTTCCCCCCCCTTGAGCTTACAATATCTCATAGTTCAGTACATTGGGTCAGTGCCAGAGATCGAAAACATTTTGCTGCAATCTGCGAGCTCGGCTGGAAAAGGAACTAAAAAAAGGAGAGAAAAAAAAACACCTCTCGCTTTATTCAACACTAAATTTTCTTTCTCTCTTCCTCCCTCATTCCTTTAAAGTCATCGCTAACAAAAAGTGCTGATAACAGGCGCTCTCTCTCACCAGACTGAAGCATTTTCTAAATGGAGAATTAAACTTTGAGATAGACCTCTGACATTTCAAACGTAACCTTGAGGGAGGACAATGCCTTAACATTTATTTATAGTGAAGGCAAAGAAAAGATAACAGTTGCGCTAGATAACTGCAGCTTGTTTCTCTGCAGAGAGGACAAAAAGGGGTGGCGTAGGGCGCAGATGATGATCTTTTTAATTATGCATATGTCATCAAGCGTGACAGATTAGGGTGTTATTGAGCATCAAGGTTGATAAGGGAACAAAAAAAATACAAATCAAAGTAAGAAAGGTGACTCTGTAGCAGTCTGGGTATTAATAGGCAAACGCATTATCACAATCATCAGTACTACACTCATTAAATCATTAACAATAATTATCAATATTGAAAAGTCTCTTAGTCACTAATAATAGCTCTTTCAATTACAGAGCTGAAAGGACTTGCATTTAACCCATCGCTGTTGTTGCCATCATGTCACACCTGTAATGTGTGTGGAGGGCTATGGCTGCGCATGCTGCGTTCAGTGTGAGTAGGTCAGGGAGTTGAAACAGAGTGGGTGAGAATGTGGTGTGTGTGTGTGTGTGTGTGTGTGTGTGTGTGTGTGTGTGTGTGTGTGTGTGTGTGTGTGTGTGTGTGTGTGTGTGTGTGAGCTTGTGTGTGAGAGCTTGTGTGTGTAAATGCATCTGTGATGAGATCAGTGTTGGGCTCCCTAAACACCACTCAGGACCCAAACATAGCCAACCATAGTCCCATATGCAACACAAACATAACCAGACACATGAAATCAAGATGCAGGTGCACAGTGTCACATACAGGACATTGATTGGTTTATGTACTGTGATCACGGCACTATAAAACAACCTTCAGAGTGGCAGGCAGGACCATCTGTCCATTAGCCAGTACAGGAACAGACATGACCGTCACAACAGGCCTGCTGCTAAGCTACAGGATACAGCTAATGTAATACTGCAGTCACATCACTACTGTACTCTCTGTCATGTGACTTGTTAAAAATAGAAGCCTTTGAACACAGTTGGGATAACAACACAACTAACTAATGATGACAGGATGAGTGGAGAAAAGGGTTGACTATAGGTGCTTTCACTAAATATTTACAAAATAAGATTTTTGATTGAAGTAGTATGGATAAATTGCCCAGGCAGGTAAAGCCAAGGTATTTTCAGAAAATGACAACAGAGTAATGCAGAGTTGAAAACCAGAAAAAAGACAACACCTGAGCCATATTAGGATATCCAAAACTGAAGACAAAAGAGTCTCATATCATGATATAATATCGATAAATTGCCCAGAGCTACTCAGAAATTTAGCGCAGTGTTAATAGTCGCATAAAATGGAAAATAAAATGATACCTAAGTAGAGTACTTGAATACTGTAGATGCACTTACTTTCATTTCACCACTGAATACCTGTGGTGTTACATGGGTCTGAGCTAGACTAATGTAAATATTGAAGGTGTGTCATATAAAAAAAATCTGAAAATGTGTCAAAGGAACACAAATCACAGCTTTCAAATATGTGAACAACGGTGGAACAGAAACCATTACACTCCTGAGTCAACAGTGTACAGTTTATAGGATGAATGCCGTGCCTTGTAACCTGTGTCTTTGTTTTCCCTCATGGCTGTTTGTCCTGCAACGACCCACTCAGACATGTCCTTGAATTTGCAGCTCAAGAAGACCCAGCCTCTCAGAGAAACTGCAGAGAATAACCTCAGTGAGTGTGTGTGCGCGTGTGCGTGTGCGTGTGTGTGTGTGTAGAGATATGCCACTGCATCAGTGTAACATAAATATTCATTAGTGACCTTGTCACCTTGCTACACACAAAGATATGTTCAGGCATACAGTACACTGATATACACTCACATACCCTTAATGTCTATTTCACATGACTAGTGCACTTTAACTTCATTCATTCAACCAGTGCAAGTTAAACATTGCTCTGTACCACAACTCATGGGTATGTTGTACACGCATGTCATGTCATTAAAGCTGTCATACTGAAATAAATGAAGAAATATGATCCAGATCGTCTCAATATTCTGCTTTCTCTCTATGGGTTGTAACATAAACAGCCTCTACATGGAGTCTGTGTGTCAGAAAAAGTTCATTGCTATTATCCATATGTACAGCTTTGGAAAAAACTAAGAGACCACTGCAACATAATCAGTTTATCTGGTTTTACTATTTATAGGTATGTGTTTGAGTCAAATTAAAAGCATTTTAATTGTATAGTCTATAATCTACTGACATAATTTCTCTGAATTCAACAGACACTGGAATGGAATGGCTGCCATACCTGTAGAGATTTAGATTTAAGAAACATTTGGAGTGGTCTCTTGATTTTCTCCAGGGCATATTACAGCTCATAATGGAATTGTAGTTCTCTGCTACATTTACCATAAATGATATATTGCAGATATGATCTGATAACTGTATCAATACTGTGCGACAGAAAGATCTTAAACTCACCCTTTTGTGTTTCTTGTTCAGGTTTTTCTTCTTCTTCTTGCCTTGTGTGTGTACCAGGCGGGGGTTGTTCTCCTGGTCTGAAGACCGTTGATGATGGACAGTCTTCTTGGAGGGCTCCAGGCTCAGGCCGTTGAGGACCCTCCCAGCCTTCTTCTTGCGTAGGGGCACTGCCGGGCTCTCTCTGCACTCCTGGGGCCTCAGTGTCAAGTTCTTCTTTAGAGAAAACAACAGAAGAGAAAGCTGGATTAGTCCAAAACCAAAATGTTGGTACGGTGTTTTAGAGCGCGTATTGTATGACTGACCTTAGAGGATTCTGCAATACGTTTCATTTATTGTCATTGTACAGAATTTGGTAGCACAATTAAATGCATTAACTGCAAAAGGCAAAAACACAAAAATGTTATTGCTGAGTGTTGATAATGAATCTAGGAGTCTGAAAGCTAGATGAATGAAGCTGCTGAGTATATTCTCTCCGTAGTTCAGTTCATCAACATGTTAATCATTTTCTTTTCTATACCTGGACTAAATCCACCTAATACAACACTCCAGAGCTTACAAAAACGACAGTATATCCTCTGGGAAGCCCGTTTTGACAGATAACAAATCTCTACTTTAGAAAAGGAGTGAAGTGAAGTTAACATATTTTTCCACAAAGAACAGCATAACAAAAAGGGTTGCTTTGTTAAAAGTGAACAGTTAAGAAGCCAACAAGGATATTGAGGATAAAGGGAGCACCAGATAATAAGACTCTAAACAACATTCAAGCTCGGCCTGAAGTAGAAAGGGCAAAGATGAAGATGATTGGTAACTTTGATTGAACTTGTGTTCACCTAAAGCCACATTTCTGAGAAGGAAGCAGATCAGCAGAAGCACAGCAAGAGACATCAAAACAATTGAGTTCAGTTTGTCCGTCAACAAATAAAAACAACATCAGAAGACTTTTCTTTTCAAAAAGTAAACTGTATTCTGAAAGCAAACCGATAAGCTACAACTCCAATATTGCAGGGTCCACACATGGGGTTATACAGTTTGACAGGGCTGATCAATAGAACCACTCATCTGCTACGGAGAGACTGTGTTATGTATCACAGCAGTGAAGCTTATGGAACAAATCAGCTTTGTTATTTGAATTGGTGACCTGCTTTGCTCCATTGTACACCAAAGAGCCACCGCTGGTAAGATCCCCAGGGAGACATTTGAGCTGGTGGAGCAGCCATGAGAGTGGAGGCCGACTGTTGGGGGGGGAGGTGCAAAGCTGCCACAGCGGAGCTAATGACATGTCGATGCTACATTTTCACAGGAAAGCTAAAAAGACAAGGTTGAGTACCCAGTGGCAATTAGCACCAATCAAACATGGACCCTTTAAAGGTCAAGGAAATGATACGGTATATATAGTGATTTATAATAAAGGACTTAGGCCCCGGCTCCACGAGGACAAATACGGCAAAACGCATCGGAGTAACGCAAATGCAACCGCAAAAAACCTTCCGTCCCCACGCAATATACACCGGATTGTGTCAAGCTCCACGAGACGGCTCCGTTTACATCCAACCGCTGGGAAAGCTGCAGTACATATGCCAAACCTGTACGTGGCGCTGTAACTTCCTCCACAAAAGCAGCAACTTCCTCCACAAAAGCAGCGAAGAAGAATGGTTGTCATGGCTGCACTTCTGTGTATTCTCCGCGGTGGGGGCCGACAGAACCGGGCAGAGTTTTTCGCCGGTCAGCGTGTGTTAAAGTTTAAATCTTCCGGACAAAATTATAAAAGTGCCGGTCAAAGGTCTTCATTGTTATTTATTGAGCTTTAAAACAAATGAATAACGACGATATAATCATCAAATACACGGAGCCTGTCTCTTTTTCCTCTCTTCTGACAGCGTCAGTGTCTGTCTCATGCAGCAGCTGATCCTGTAATGAGTGACCCGACAGTAAAAATGAACATATTTATAACTAGTTTAGGTAGTTTGAGAGGTAATTAAAATAGCTAAGGGTGATGATCTGACTTGAAGTGTGTGTTTTGCTCCCGCTGCATCACAGCGGCAGGAGCTGCGTGTCTCCGTCCTGTCAGATTAGACTTCACTCGCGTTTATGTCCATATCGAGATAAAGATAAATAATCTGAATTCAAGGAGGAGCTCCTGTAGATGTTGCACAAAGAACTGTAGCATGGTCAGTAGCGACTGGAGCACGATAGCAACCCTGCGGGGGAGAGGCGGGGCTATGAAAACGAATGACCGTATAGGCGACTCCACGGCCCCGTTGGACCCCCCAGAGCGCTCCGTTCCCAGATCTATCCACCTTTGGACCCGTTGTCGTTTGCGGGGTCTGTTTCTACGTTTCCCTTACGGCGTCGTCGAGCTTAGAGGGCTATACGCATGAGAAATATGCGGATTCAACCCGTTTTCGTCCTCGTGGAGCCGGGGCCTTATTCTCTGGGTGGGTGTGTACAGCTATTGTTTTGATTATAGTAACGAGACCCAAGTTGCCGTTTTTCCAATACTATTGCTATGTCTTGTCGTATAACCTAAATAATTGTAGTTTATACCTGTCTCATACTAGTTGAGCTTGTTTACATTTTATTTACTTGTCTTTTAATGACCATTTAAAAAATGTTTATATGTATTTAATGTTTACTGTACCTGATGCCTTTAATGTTTAAAGCACTTTGAAATGTGATATTAAAAAAAACTTGCCTTGCGTTACTCAAGCTCTATATAAAAGCAGTACATTTAATAGTCAATTTGAAGCTCAAGGCTTTACATCAAAGTAAATACAAGTAAAGTGTTATCAAATATAATGTATGGTTATAAATTAAACCACCCCACAGAATATAAAGTAGTACAATTAGCTTTACTTCAACCAGGCATGACGTGTTACACTGCATACACGGTAATGCATTTATTCAGTTATTAGTCACATTTTATTAGTGCTGATGTTCTTTTTTTTCTATTTTTCCAATTCACTTATTTTACTTTTGGTACTTTTAAATATTTGCTGCTAAAACTTTCACTTGCAGTGCAGTAAGGCTGCAGTCACATATTTAGCAGTGGTTTATAGCTTATTTGTTGAACAGCAGTCAAGCTGGCCTCTAAAACCTTGCCCCAGTCCAGGATTTATCCGCAGCCCTCAGAAACCACAGTGTGACTCATATTTGGTGTGCAGTGCATATAAGGAATGAAATCGGGGCAGCCTTTCTGCCAAATACTGGCGAGAAAAAGAAATCCACCACATCTCAAGCAGCAGCAGTTTCTGGCTGAAGGACCACCTCGAAGCAGCCTTAGCGTGCCTGTAGAGAATTACATCACCAGTGTTACGGATATGTACTGCTGTCAGTTTGATGGGTGTGCTACTGCCACTGACTCACTAAACCATCTCTAAAGGCCTCAAGTCACTCGCAGAAAACAAGTGCATGCATCAACTAATCTTATTTGCCTTTCCCGCCCACACTCATCCAAGGCAAATAATGCAACATGACATTCATTGTCAGTGTACAGAATAGCCTGAGTGACACATTTATGAAGGGGCTGAGATAGGTTCCATTGTGCCAGCTTTCTGCATGCTTCTGAGCCTCCAAATCAACTGATTGCCTGGAATAAATGATGCATGTTTTGTTTTGCCTGCCCTACGAACAATAGCAAGACAAATTCCTTATTTCAGCGCCTTGGGAAGACACTGAAAAGAAAGTAATTACCCGATATGGCTCACTCTCAACAAGCTTTCATTTTTGTGATTGCCTGGCAGTGTACAGTGTAATTACACTGTGGCATTTAGTGGAAATGCATGTTTGCAGGTACCCTTACAACCTGTTATAATCTGAAAGGCAGCTTTTTTTAGTCAACTTTATTTAATTGTGTTGGTACATTTTGGATTTTTAAACGTTTCGTGAGATCCTGATATTTTACATCAAAAATGATTATATAACTACTGAAAGTCGCCCTCTCTACTCATTAAAGTGTTTTTCTTAGTGTTCGTACACATGTTTGCAGAATGATGCATTTTGCATTCAGATTATTTGATTTTCCATTACATTCGTATAAAATATTTTTTTGTATAATTTGTCAACACTCACCATACACAGCACGACATCCATTTTGCATCTCAAAGTCTAGACAGGACAAAGGTGCAGATATTTTCTATTGTACTGCTGAAGTGTCTAGGAGACATGTTGTGCATATTTATAGATTGAGGATTTTAAAATTAGGGTTTAATAGGGAACAATAATTGTATAATAAAATATGTACTTTTTTGTCGAAAAACCATCATAACCTATTATTCCAAGATAAGTATTAAAACATGTCTTGAATCTACTTTATAACGTTCACTGTTGTGTCATTATAACAGAACCCAAATATGCATTCAAACTGGATGTGGAATCTTTAGAAAATTGCACATTATCAAACTCCAGACGCCTGCACTGTATTAATATCGCACGCTGCATGCAATTTTCTCCTGAACATTCCTCATCACCGTTTCTTATAAAGTATGTTTGTGAAGGGCCAGTCAATACACTGTGCTTCCTCTGGTGCGCTCAATACAAGTGAAATGGTTTGTCAATGAGGATACATTCACAGTTGTGGAGAGGTTGAATGTAACAATGGATAGCTCTGACTTTACTACGCTTGAAAATATGAACTGGAATTCATTGGAATATTTAGTTTGGTCAACTGGACAAGAGCAGGTATTAATAAATCCTGCAGCATGTGATGTCTTCTCCAAACAAAAACAAAAATTGTACAGTGTCCTATTTTTATCTGACGCATTCTCTCCTGCTCATCTCAGCTGTCTCCCAGCACTCTTTTGTCATGTGTTTGTACCTTTGTTGTCCATCTTATGTGGGGAGAAGCACCCTGAACTCAACATCTACAACAGAAGATAAAACAAACCAGACAATGTATCTTTGATGGCATTTGAGCCACCAAACAAACACCTATGGGAGAGGCTGAGCAATCAGTCTTACCAACTTGTGCTACTGAGACAGTTTAATGAGTGTACAGAGCGGATTCCCAGCAGAGAGTCAAAGAGAGAGATGACTGGTGGCAGAACAACAGATGTTGATGAGAGACAAACAGGCACAAGCTCCATGTACATCAGCAACACACACGTCTCAAATCTCTACACAACAGAAGACTAAGTAAACAATAATAAGAGATCTAATGAATGCTAATAAGGACTGATGAGTACAATCTCTCTGGGAGAACAGCCCTCATCAACTTG